CCCCAAAACCCCAAAACCCCATATTCATTCGCATTAATCAAGTTATTTATATCTTAATATGTATTATTATTAAATTTCCAATTTAGATAAGTGAATTATATAAATTTATTTAAGAAATGAATTCAATATCTAACTAAAGATTTGAGGGCAAAGTTTGTGTGATCACTGGAGGTACTTGTGGAATAGGATTGGCGCTAGCTGAAAGAGTTATTTCTGAGGGGGCATCAGTAGTAGTATGCTCAGTCGGCAAAGATATCAAAGAATAGGTTGAGAATTTGAGAAATAAGCGAGTCAATAAAACTGCTCAGAGAGTCGAAGGTTTATTTGTAGACGTCACAAGTAAACAAGACAGATAGAATTTGGTAAACCTAGTGGAGAAAGAATTTGGAAGGATTGACGTCTTATTTGTCAATGCAGGCATCGCCTTTCAAATGTATGGCTAGTTGAATATGCCTGAGAGTACATTTGATCAGCTATTTGCTGTTAATGTCAAAGGTGCCTTCTATACAATCAAAGATTGTCTGGAACTATTGAAGAAAGGTAAAAACCCTAACATTCTTGTCACATCTAGTTATTCTGTACCAATGCCAAACAAATCTGTAGGGGTATATGGAATGACCAAGGCTGCAATGAGCAACATGGTTGTGTGGCTCGCCTAAGAGCTTGAACCCGATAACATTAGAGTCAATGGCATAAACCCTGGAATGGTTAACACTAACATGACTCCAGTTAAGTTGAGAAATATCACCTAGAAGATACCTAGAATTATATCAGAGCCTCATAACGTAGCTAGTATTGCTGCTATGATAACATCAGATGATGGCTCATTTATTAATGGAGAAAGTCATGTCATTGAGTCTAAAGTACTCGAGAATTACAAGATCTGATAGATTAGATAAGATTATACAATATCTTTAGATATCAATCTGCTTATGTTACAGCGTATATCAAATTTCAATATTATCTACTATGATTATGAAATTATTTTTATTTTATGGGGTTTTGGGGTTTTGGGGTTTTGGGG